GGCTCCAGCAACTCCCCGTTACCAATTAATTGGAATGGGTGATGCTTTTGGATTTACTGGTTAACCTTTCACATCACCATTGTTCAGCACTTCCACCCTAAAGGTCTCAAAATGTGACTATTGACCTACAAACCTGACATAGGGATCTGTTCACCCAACACTGAAATGAAGCCGCCTCTGGGCTGAAGCACAGTACATGGCAATGTCAGAAGTTACTTAGGACTGGACGTGAGCACCAGCTTATTCCAATGCAAGTGTAACTCAGCACACGGGATTCTTCTATCTTGCTCTTAACTGTAACATCTTCTTGCACACAAAACCAGATCCCTGCAAGTCTGAGAATATCCACTTTATATCTGCCCGTATCTGTATCTGCAGATGTAGAGGCAGATATCCATGGATATCTAGTTTTACAGATACAGATGCGGACAGGGCTCTGTACCAGTGGTGGGCAACATGCACCCCGAGGGCCACATACCACCCACTGTGGTTTTCTGTATGGCCCACCAGACATTTTATTTATTGTTGTCCATGTACAACATTGCTACATTCTGCTGGTTTTCGAGCACATGTTTTTTTTTCCTACTAAAGTGACACGCATGTAAAGCCAAGGCATGCATAGCGAGCTGCATGCTGCTTGCACACAACGTTGACTGGGACAGCCGTGTGCTCCCTCTGCATCCAGTAAAAGTGCTGCTACTGTGCAACTAGCACACCCTGCAAATTCTAGGTGCGCAAGCACCGAATTTACCCTATCCTGGGAGACTGTCCTGGTTAGGACAATACTGTAGCCCAATGAGAGGAAGGAAGGCCACTCATGCAGCCCCCTCACTAGCTTAGGTTGCCCCTTACTGCTCTACACATAATCTCCTCTTTCATATGCACTGGAGCCCAGAACCCTTGAGCACCTTGCTGCACCCATAGCAAGGGCTTGGGTATCAAGGCCTGAAATAGCCAGAGGAATTTCAACAGCCAAGAGCAGATTTATCCGAACTGGCAGGACACTGAAGTTAACACTCCTACCTTACAAATAGCATCAATAGTAACGACCCATCAGGGTCTCAACTGTATGTCTTATTTGAAAGACAGCACGGCTCCTGCAGCAAGGCACCTACCATCACCCTGTGGAGCCACTGCTTCCATGCTGGCTCCCGGCATCCCCAGAGATCCCCACGGCTTCCTGAATGTCTCCCAGCCCTGACCCTGTTTAGCGGTGAGATCCCACAGAATCCCAGCACAATCACCTATTCTGGCCTAATGCTTTGTACTCCCATTCAGCACCTACAGGACGTCGTAATTAAGTTGATCGGTTCATTTATTTTGCAGTGGGATGGATTCCTCCCCTCCTCCAGGATGGAAATGGGGGAGGTAAAAATGGTTTCGTTTGTAACTTTAAACCACAAATGGCTCAATACTCACCCCTCAGCTGCTCTGAGAAAACATTAAATAAAAAAAAAAGCAAGCACAAAAGCTCTCACAGCTTTGCACCTTTATTACAGCAGCCTGGAAACAAGGCAGCCATTGTTCTACAGCACCAACTGGTGCTTTTCATTCTTTCCTCCCTATCTCTTTGCGGTCTGTGGAGGCGTGCCAGGCTAGTGGGCTATTCATTAACTTACTACTTGTACTTGAGGGTTGTTTCCTCCTTTGGGAGGCCCCAGGGCCGATGATGTGAAATCAGACTGCAGCTAGCTGGGCCCAAGGCTCCAACAGAAGAATGTGACATTCTGCTGAGATGGTGAAAGTCCTCTGAGCTAGTTAAGTGCTATGAATTGTTCTGGCTCTGACATCATGACTCATGGCGAAACCTTCTAGAATTGATGTGAGGGTAATAAAGGGTACCATCTTAAAGACAGTATAGTTCATCATTTAATTAATATCTGCTCCCTGGGAGGTGTGGCTGCAGCGGGCAATCTCTACCCCTGCTTTTTGAAGTCACCAAGCAGTCTTACAAATAGAGCATGCATGCACCACAATGCCACATCTTCAAGTCTTCCTGTGGTCACTCTAATATAATTCAAGGGATTTTCACACTTCAAATGAAGTTTCACACTGCTTATACTCTAGTTTCACACAGTTACAAGCGGGTTTCACTCTGCTAGCCTCCCAGAAAACAAAGTTTGTTGACTCTTCGACAGATATTCAGTACGATTCTCTAAAGGAATCATCATCTTATTTTGCTCAGCCAGAGCAAAAGATAGAAAAGGGAAGAAGTTGCCACAAAGGCTGGAAAGCCATGCTCTTTTCCAGCCACTGAAAAGAACTGAAGTAGCACAGTCAATACTCTTCCTGAGCATCATCCTCTTCTGGCATTATCACCCATTTACAGACAGACAGCGGTTAGGGACAACATTTGCCTATCCCGGCCTAACCTCCATGAATCTATCTAGCTCTTTTTTGAACCCTGTTAGGGTATGTCTAAACTACATGGCTCCGTCAACGGAGCCATATAGATTTGTTTGTTTGGCAAAGGGAAATGAAGCCACGATTTAAATAATCACGGCTTTATTTTAAATTAAATGGCTGCCGCGCTGAGCCGACAAACAGCTGATCAGCTGTTTGTTGGCTGAGCGTGCTAGTCTGGACACTCCCCTGCCAACATGAAAGCCCTTTATCGACCTCCCCGGTAAACTTCATCCTACGAGGCATAACGGGGAGGTCGATAGAGGGCTTTCAGGTCGGCGCGGGAGCGTCCAGACTAGCGTGCTGAGCCGACAAACAGCTGATCAGCTCTTTGTCGGCTCAGCGCAGCAGCCATTTAAATGTAAATGAAGCCCTTAGAGTCCTAGTCTTCATCACATCCTCTGGAAAGGAGTTCCACAGGTTCACTGTACACTCAGTGAAGAAAAACTTCATTTTGTTTGTTTTAAACCTGCTGCCTATTAATTTTGTTTGGTGATCCCTAGTTCTTACACAGTGGGAATAAGTAAATAACTCTTCCTTATTCACTTATTCCACACTAGTCATGATCTTATAGACCTCTATCATATCCCCCTTAGTTTCCTGTTTTCTAAGGTGAGAAGTCCAAGTATTTTTAATCTCTCTTCACATGGGACCCATTCCAAACTCCTAGTCATTTTTGTTGCCTTTTTCTGAACCTGAACCTTATTCCAGTAAGACTAACAGATTTAAAGGTGTCTTGGCCTGTTAGTGATGCACCTGCTTCTGCCATCGTGAA